CCTGAGTATGTCACTCTCACTATGGTCTCTCAACTCCTCAATTATGCAACTGAAAACATCAGATTCATTAATAAGAATGAGGAAAGAACTTACTCAGAAACAATCATGCCCCGACTTCCACCTTCACTTTCTACACTTGATCAGTAAATGAATGGACCCCTGCCTCCTAGGAAGACTGCATCAACCTTACGAGATCCTGACCTGCATGACCCCGGAGACTCATTTACATCTCCTTTTTAGTAGGCTTTAGCTGAGAGCTGACTCACAGAAGAATGAGCCAGTCTGTGGAGAGACAGCAAGACTGACGTCGGTTTTCCCAGACTACAAAGCAATTTCTGGGGCCTCTGATATACCCACGTTGGCCGTTAGCATGTGTACCCCGTGGTGTGGTTCCTGGGCCCCAGATCCCTTAATCTATTTCTTGCTACTAGAGAAACTAGATGTCCCCTCGCTCCTCTTAGGCTAACCTTTTCCTATGTAACAGAGTTACAGAGTGGGGCTTGTCCTCTGTGTCTCCCTGGGGGTGCTCTGGGTTTGTGCGGTCTCCCAAAAAGGCAAATCCTATCAGGACCTAGGCAGGGACCGAGAGAGAACGTCTGTGCCAGGCCATTGCTGTAGAACAATGAGTGTTGGAGGACTGTGTCCTTTTGTTATTTCTTTGCTGGGAGGTTGTTCTCCAATAAATTCTGTATATCTGCACCTGTGTTGCTGGTGATCCGTGCCCCCTTGCATGACACTGATCATATCCAAAACAATTTTGAAAGCCACTTTTGGTAGTTGGTGGATATTGAGAAATGAGAAAAAGGAAGAGATAAGAAAAAAAAAAATACTTTCAGTCTTGCAACTGTGTCCGTATCTGTCTAGGGCCTCTCATAGGCTGCAGCTCATCTGTAGACTCCCGGGATTGGTACAGTGAAAAGAGAAGTGTAAGCTTTTAAGTGTAAGTTTTGGTTTACACACAGAAGTTCAAAGCCACAATTCCTGTGTAACATTCAACTCCGTTAGTTCACTTTCATCTTTTTAAAAGAGTAATAATTTGGGGGGGGGGATTCCTTTTCATAGCCTCAATGTCTGAAGAGGTTACTTACGCAGACCTCAATTTTCAGGACTCCGGTAGAAAGAAAAGTATCCAGGAGTTTGACACAGTTGGAATCAAAGGTAAGACGCTGAGCTTGGGAAGTGTTGCAGGTTGATAGGAGTGGAAGGGTAGAAGGCCTTAGGTATTAGTGAATTGACCATGATCCTTCAGTGTGAATTTATTTATTTTTTTAATGTTTATTTATTTATTTTGCGAGAGAGAGAGAGAGAGAGAGAGAGAGAGTGAAAGAGAGAGAGAGAGAGCATAAACGGGGCAGGGGCAGGGAGAGAGAGGGAGAGATTAATCCCAAGCAAGCTCTCCTCTGTCAGCGCAGAGCCCAGGTTGGGGCTCGAACCTACGAACTGTGAGATCATGACCTGAGCAGAGATCAAGAGTCAGACGCTTGACCGACTGAGCTGCCCAGGTGCCCCTCCATGAAATTTTAAATTAAGCCTCTCATTTTGACCAAAGCTACTAATGTACAAAATGATTATAAAGGGTTTTTCTTAAAGGTGCTAATTAGTACATCGAACCCTCCATCCTCTGCGAATTTTCTGTGTTTTAACATCACACTCAAGATGATTGGGATAGACTCATATTTTGATTTTACTGGATGGTGAAACATTTTTTTTTTCCTCAGTGAAATGAAGTCTTAGAACAAGAAGCACATGTTGCCCGGGAGAGTCATGGTCGTGCATATTCTTCTTTTTGCTACGAAAATGCTAGTCACAAATACAATAAGAAAACTGGCTCTCATTCTCCCCCCGGCCCATGTGACAAGCACTATCCTATTTGTCTTATGACATAATTCTGGGCATCACCGTTTTTCAGCAGAGAAACAAGGGTTCAGTGAGGACAGGGTGTGCTTGAGTGTCACATGTATGTCTGGGGATTGGGGAAGCCTCTCTACTTTATTGACCTGCCGGAATTATGGAGGAGAGGGTTCGGAACTGATCAGAGGTGAATAACTCATTTGACCCTTTGAAGCTCTGTGCTCTCATCTATAAAATAGGATAACAATACCTGCTTAATTATGAGCTTGCAGCCATAATTTAGTGTATGCTAATTGTGCCCTTTTGAAAAAGGCTAACATGTTTAATGATTATTTTGTGAGGTTTCAATGAAAGATAGATAAATAAAGATGGGAAATACACCAATAAAAGGTTTTCTTTTTTTAATGTTCATTTCTTTTTGAGAGAGAGAAGCGGGGGAGGGACAGAGAGGGAGAGAGAGAGAAAGAATCCCAAGCAGGCTCCACACTGCCAGTACAGAGCCTGACAAGGGGCTTGAACCCACAAACTGAGAGTTCATGACCTGAGCCCCAACCAAGAGTCAGAAGCTTAGTCAACTGAGCCGCCCAAGTGCCCGTAAAATGTTTTCTTCTTGGCCACGATTTCATTCATCATTTTTTGCTTATTCATTCAACCTAGTACATATTTCTTTAATATTTAAAGTTGACCACACTTGTTTTTTTTAATGTTTTTTCATGTTTACTTATTTCTGAGAGAGAGAGAGAGAGAGAGGCAGACTGCAAGCAGGAGAGGGGCAGAGAGACAGGGAGACACAGAATCCGAAGCAGGCTCCAGGCTCTGAGCTGTCGGCACAGAACCCGATGCGGGGCTCGAACCCACAAACTGTGAGATCGTGACCTGAGCCAAAGTCGATCGCTTAACGGACTGAGCCACCCAGGTGCCCCAAGTTAACCATATTTTCAGTTCCAGGTGCCAAAACTGAAAATGAGACGCTCTCAAAAAGAATGACAATAATAAATAAGGTCAAGAAGATTTTTCGGAAAGGTGTATTAAAAGGAATTTAACTTCTGTTACTTTTAACTGCTCCAATTTGACCATTACCATCTGAGAAATCAAATTTTGTTCAGAGAAGGATGTTAAGCAGTCCTCTGTAGCAATATGTAATTACATAGGAGTGCATGAACTTCAGACTGAAAGGTGAGGAAGTTTTCTTTAACATTAAACTATAATGGTAGATAAAGAGTGAGATAATAGTGTTTAGATCTACAAATTCGAATTTTGTGAATGAACGTGTTACCACACTGTTAGACATATTATTCGTAAAATCAGATTATAGCACATCTCATTAGCTTACTGTTAGGTCTATTCATTCTTTGAATGATGAGATAATAGCTCAGGGAATATTATGGTTGAATGGGAATAGAGCTCTTTTTCATAAATCTTTACTTAATTTAGTTTCCCTAGTATGGGTTACATTTTGGATTAAATTTTCTCATTTATATATGGCATTTAAGAAGTGACTGCTTTGGGGGTGCCTGAGTGGCTCAGTTGGTTAAGCGTCTGACTTGGACTCAGGTTATTATCTCACCGTTCGTGTGTTCCAGCCCCACATCAGGCTCTGTGCTGACAGCTCAGAGCCTGGAGCCTGCTTTAGATTCTGTGTCTCCCTCTCTCTCTGCCCAATCCCCGCTCATGCTCTCTCTCTTTCTCTCTCTCTCAAAAATAAATAAACATGAAAAAAAATTTTAAAAATTTAAAAAGAAGTGACTGCTTTGATTGAACTGTTCAGCAGAACTTAATAGTTTGATACTTGATTTCAATGTGATTTTTATAGCCATATGGTGCAATTAATGTTTCCAGAATCTAACTCACCATTTAGAAAACGAAAAAACAATGTTTATTGGAGGCTACAAAATACTCATATACATACACACACCACAATTCTGGGATGTTAAGCTTAATTATTAGAGAAAAGAAAAGAAAAAAAAAGCAAAGCAAAGCAAAGAAAAGAAGAGAGAAAGAAAAGAAAGGGAGGGTGAGGGAGGAAAGGGGGAGAGGGAGGAAGAAAGGAAAGGAAAGGAGAGGAAAAGTGTGTGTGTGTGTGTGTGTGTGTGTGTGTGTGTGTGTGTGTGTCTGAAAGACAGAAACAGAGAGAAAAAAGAGAGACAGAGAAAACTTTAAAAAATGTCATTTGGTTTTCTACTAAGTAAGCGTATATCACCCCCAAATTTCTATTTCTTTTGGAGGTTAAGTTAAATGAAAGACACATAGAGTACTAAAGGGAGAAAAAAGGTAAAGAAATATTGGAAAATACACCATTCAAAATCACACTGTACCTGAAAGTTTCGTATTTAAAAAAAAAAAAATCCCCTAAAACTGTTTCCTTTCCCTAATCATCCTCATCTCATTAAATATAAATAATCTAAATATAAATATGAATATAAATGTAAATATAAATATAAATACAAATACATATTAAATACAATCACCTATGTGCCAGCACTGTTCTAATTGTATTACCAATACTAGATCACTTAATCTCTGGTATTTTATGGCTTTCTTTTTTAACCAATGCAGAAAGTAAGCCCAGGGACATTCAATGACTTGTCCAAGGTCCCATGTGAAAAGTAGCTTATCCAGCGTTCAAACCCAGGCACACTGGGGCGCCTGGGTGGTAAGCGTCCGACTTCGGCTCAGGTCATGATCTCACGGTTCGTGAGTGCGAGCCCCGAGTCGGGCTCTGTGCTGACAGCTCACAGCCTGGAGCCTGTTTCAGATTCTGTGCCTCCCTCTCTGACCCTCCTGAGATTCATTCTCTGTCTCTCTCTGTCTCAAAAATAAATAAACGTTAAAAAAAATTAAAAAAAAAAAAACCCAGGCACCCTAGCCCTAGGAATGTGCTGCTAATTTTTTTTTTTTTTTGTTACTTCACTATACTGCCTCTAAGTGTGTATGTTTCTTATCTACCACCTCTGTCAAGGAAAAAACGTCTTGGAAACATTTCATAAATTCGGCCTATAGATTCTAACTTCAAAATGTATTCTTAATGGATTCGTGGGCCATCACATTCTCTATTCCTAGTAAAGCAAACTACTATCCTCTCTCACATGGCATGCTACAATAGTTTTCTTGGTGTTCTCCCTGCTTCCAACACTGAGCCCTATGATGAATTTGTTGTCCAGAGGCAGTAACAGTGATCTTTCCAAAAAAACAAAACAAACAAACAAGCAAAACACAACTCAATTATTTTCCTGTCTTCATTAAACCTTTCCTGTTGAACAGAACTTTTGACTAATTGAATACATAGACGAGAACATAATTCTTACGGAAGATAGCACTTGAAGTCATATTTTTCACCTTAGATAAGATCTTGACTATATAGTTCTTTCACTGTTCACTATTGTTCAAAGTGTAAAAATTTGTTTTACATTATACTTTCAATTCTCTCTAAACTTCACAATGTTACAGCAGCAACTAAGAGATGTGGGACATAACACAGATCAGAAATATAATGAGCTTATCATGTTATTCCTGAATTATATTTTTGGAAACATCTAGTATCCATGTATATACCAATGATGATAATTTAAGTCAGGTAGTGATTTAATAATGAATAATTTATAATATAAAGTTTGCAATTCTTGTTTTTTTTTTTTTAAATAGGGAAATGATCTATTTGAGGGTTTCTGTGTTTGGCAAAAGAGAAACATCCAACAGAAGTTTGTTGCTAATAATATGAAGAACTTCGGATGTAGAAATGATATCGATCTGGCCTACGGTTTGGCTGAAGGGAGGACACACGGAGACATTACAAAAGACAGTCTATCAATTATGTTCCACAGCCAAATTCTCAGGATCTGGGGAGGAAGAACCTAAATAACAAATGATTTTCTTTGCCAATCACAATCATCTACTCAAGACAGGATTGCTCTGATTGACCTCTCTATTAGTCACCAGCTCCCCCTTTGCCCCAGATTTGTACAGAAAAGATACATTATATATTATACATTGGTTTTCTCAAGTCTCCTTTTTAAATCCCATCTTTGCCTCCTTGTGTCTTAGATCAGCCTACCAATTAACGGCCTCTCCTGTGAGAACGAGTTTGCGTGCAACACAATTAGCAACATGTTTTTTACTTACTCTTTTAAAAGCTATTTTTTTTTAATTTTTTTTTTCAACGTTTATTTATTTTTGGGACAGAGAGAGACAGAGCATGAACGGGGGAGGGGCAGAGAGAGAGGGAGACACAGAATTGGAAACAGGCTCCAGGCTCTGAGCCATCAGCCCAGAGCCTGACGCGGGGCTCCAACTCACGGACCGCGAGATCGTGACCTGGCTGAAGTCGGACGCTTAACCGACTGCGCCACCCAGGCGCCCCTGAAAAGCTATTTTTAAATGGCCTGGAGTTTTTACTCACTCCAGAGGCAGAAAGAAATAAAGGCAAAATGAATGAATGAATGAATGAATGAATGAATGAA